TCCCTCCTGTACCGTAATAATGGATGGTACAAGGGTCGAGTGGTCCACTGATGTTACTTATCTCGGGATGTTGTTCGATGAGAAGCTCCTGTTCCGCTCGCACATAGAGAAAACCCTAGTTAAGTGCTCCGCCTTGGTTAGGTGTTTGTATCCGCTCATTTGCCGTAGATCCCGCCTCTCAAGGCAAAACAAACTGGCTGTTTACAAACAGATCATAGCCCCCGCGATCTTCTATGCCGCCCCGGTGTGGGAATCGTGCGCTCAGACCCACAGGAACAAAATCCAGGTTGCACAGAATAGAGTGTTGAGGATGATCCTAGATCGTCCATTCGACACAAGAATAGCAGACCTCCATCAAGAGGCAGAAATTCCCAAAGTAGATTCCAAAATTGATGATATGACAACTAAATTTATTCAAAAATGCAATCTTTCTGAACATGCTTTAATAAGCAATTTGTACATAGTAGGTTAAGTGTATATAGTAGAGTAGGTTAGTTTTAAGCTGTAAATAGTAGTATTAAGTAGTTTCTCTTCAAATTCTAAAAACAAAACAAACCAATCCCATCAAGGTGGTCGACCGTGTACTAAGTCTAGGACTAATTCTGTAAAACAAATTTTGAATTTTGCCCATACCTAAAGATGAAGAAAGCAATTAAATCACTTAGTAAAAATTTATATGGTAATCGTCCAACAAACTTAAACTTAAAAAAAAAAAAAAAAAAAAACTCGTTGAAGTCATTCTTGTAACAAATTTTGGAGGTGACGAACCACCAGCAGCAGCAGGAAACAGCAGCAACAGAAACCTCAGCAGCAGAAACAGCAGCAGCAGCAATAGAAGCAGCCGCACCCGTGGGAGCTGCATCGCTAATTCGTGTTGCCGTGGCCGAGGCTGGAAACCTCGGTCCGGTCACGACACACCATACTGCCTTTTTGCTTCAAGAACAGTTCAAACTGCTTGCTCCGATATTCACCGCCGTTGTCGCACCGTAAACGGTTGATCCGTTGACCAACGTTGGTTTCGTGGGATTTCGATTTGTGTTTCTTTTCTGCTCTGACAACTCTATTTCATCGGGTACTCTGCCAATTTATGGTTATCCTGTTTGCACCCGAAGCACTTGAATGCTTTCTTCTTTGGGAATAGCTTCGAACCGGAAAACGCTGCCTCACTTTTCGGGGTGCACAACTCTGCACCTTTTCTCTTCGTTTCTTCGTCCAACAGCCTGGATTTCACAAACTCGATGGTCAGATATTCTCATCGGGCATCGTTTCCAATGCTGCCACAACGGTGGAATATGACGATCCGAGCGTTAACAGCAGGTGGCAAACCACATCGAGCTCCTCCAGCGCCGGTAGCTCGATACTCCCGCACAAGTCTTTCGAATTTAAGGTTCGACCATCAAAACGCAGAGTTAGCATTTGCCTTTTCAGGTGCATCCTGCTCGCGTTACTGTGTCTCTCAAATACCCGCTGGAGGGCATCCCAAACATCTTTCAGCGTTTTTTGATCGTGGATATATTCCAATTGTAAATCATGAACTCTTGACACGAGCAGCGACTTGCACTTGCGGTCCTGTTAGGCACTTTCTGTGCTCTAACCTCCGCATTATCACCCGTATTATCCATAGGCACCCCCACTTTGTCCGCATCTGTACGGATGCACTCCAAGAGCCCGCGCTCCTCCAGGTGAATCGTCATCCTGTACTTCCATAATTCGATGTATGTGCAGTTCCATGAATTCTTAGAAATTTTAGAGAACTTCATTGAAAAACTAAGAACTGCATAAATTACTTCGTTTTAATTTAAGGAAAATTAAGGAAACTTTAAACATGTTCCGTTAATTTCTGGGCAGTTTCTAGAGATGGGGAGCTGCATGAAAGTTGATTGCAGTTCCATTAATTTCAGGAAAATAACGGCAAATTTTGAGCTGCTCCCGATTTTTCAAGTAGTCCAGAAAACCTCACCACCGAAGGTCAGAGGATATCAATGAAGCTTAGGGATTCTTAGGGCTGTTCTAGGGCAGTACTTAAAGCTTAAGAGAATTTCAAGTCAGGAAAATACTGATAGGTGGATTGACCAATCAGACAGTAAGGTTGGTTGGCGCGAAAACGTGGCGCATCACGCCACGTAGCTCCACCAATAGGAGACAGGTAACATAATTTTGTAATGTAAGCATATTTAGTCTTTAAAACGGTAGAGCACACGAGGCTCTACCTCTTTTTCATCATAAATGTGTAACGTGTAAGATCGGTAATAAATAGTGTTAGCATTAAAAGTTCTTTTTAAAAAGTGAACTACGAAGAAAAATCCCTTAACTGGTGTCAGAAGTGGGATCATCGTGAGTGTAACATAAAGAGACCGGAGTGAAAGTGCTTCGAGGATCAAGTGCATAGTTAGAGAACCTAAACCTCTGAACGCCGCAATGACATCGACTTTTGAGAAAGCCGCATCACGTATAGCAACAGTTCGAGACATTGGATCGTAAAACGCCGCAGCTTCATCCCCGAAGACAGCAACTGCCGATCCGCTCACGAGGACTGGACTGGATGAAATTAATTGGTGTTATACTGTAAGTAATCTGTCCCTTTAAACCACTATTTAAATATGCCAGAAACACGCAACGCAAAAATTGAGCAGCTGAAGCAACAAATTGCTCAGCTACAAAACTTAATTCAGGGAGCAGGAAATGCTTATTATATTCCTGACCCTATCAAACAACTGTCAGAGTATTTAGGCAGTAAGAAAGAACTGAACGCATGGCTTCAGGAAGTAGATGAGCTCTATAACGAGTTCAAAGTAAAGGGTGAACGGGGAGCCCCGACACCTTCAACGCGCACTATTTTAGGGCGATCAAAAATAAAGTGAAAGGCAAGGCACGCGCAGTAGTATGTGCCAATGGGAATCCTGATACAATTGCACAATTGACGAAAGTTCTGAGAGAGAATTTTGGTGAGTGCTAACAACGTCACCCTTACATCAAACTGTTCAAGTCGAGTAAGAGAGCTACGAGGATCATACCTTATCCAGTTCTCTGGCTGTACCATCAAGTTGAACGACGAGGAATGCACTAACAACAACACCGACGTATTACAGAAAACTTATCTTCCAACGACGGGACTAACGGTAACTCTTTCAAAAATCATAAACAAGATACCTTTACAGTACTTACAGGAAATCAATCTGGACCACCGGAGTCATATAGAGCATCTGAATATGACTACGGACAACATACACTGGCAACTACATCTGGTTAGCTGGCTCTCATTTGGAACATTATCAACCCTAATACTAGTGCTCCTAGCAGTATTAGTTACAAAGACAGTTCTTTCATTCTTACCATGCAAATCGACGCCCTTCTGGATACCAAGACGAACCAACACGGGAACCATCAACACGGAGAGACCTACAGGACCAGGGACTTCAGGACTAACGCAGGACAACGATACACACCACCACATCAGGCAACCAAGATTCATCCCGCAGGAGCCAAGGATCGTGAAAGTTGGGGACGACTTTCCAGTAGAGGGGGAATCGTCAGGAAAATACTGATAGGTGGATTGACCAATCAGGCAGTAAGGTTGGTTGGCACGAAAACGTGGCGCATCACGCCACGTAGCTCCACCAATAGGAGACAGGTAACATAATTTTGTAATGTAAGCATATTTAGTCTTTAAAACGGTAGAGCACACGAGGCTCTACCTCTTTTTCATCATAAATGTGTAACGTGTAAGATCGGTAATAAATAGTGTTAGCATTAAAAGTTCTTTTTAAAAAGTGAACTACGAAGAAAGATCCCTTAACTCCGAGAACTTCGGAGAAGCTTTGAAAATTTTAGAACAGTTCCATTAGCTTTAGGGAAGTTACAGAAATTTTAAAGATGTTTCGAGAACTTATGGGAAATTGTTAAAAGTTCAGGAAATTACCGGAATTTCAGAAAAATTGTGGGAGCTTTTGGGAAGTCCAGAGAAGTTCAGGAAAGTCAAAAAATTGTAAGAGGAGTTCGGTGAGCATCCGGGTAGTTTCGAAAACATCAAAACAGTTACATTTACTTCAGAACAATTGTGGGAAATTTTAGAAGTTCAGATATATTAACGAAACATTCCTGGGTTTGTCATCTAATGGGCGTTCAATAAAAAATGAGAATTTTTTCAGTCATACAACTAGCAAAAAAAAAATTTCAGCGAATTCAGTATTTTTTATTAAAAACATAATGTTTATTCTTCAAAAAAATGTCAATGAATATTGGAAAAGGGGCCCTGGTCAGCCGTACGTCGTAACTTAGTCGCAATGCTCTCACAAGAGCGCTGGACGGCACTGAAATTATTCTCATTTTTTATTGAACACCCGTTATATATATAAAAATTAATTTCTGTCTGTCTGTCTGACCTTTATAAACTCGGAAACTGCTGAACCGATCGGCGTGAAAATTTGTATGCAGGGTTTTTGGGGCTGGGAAAGGTTCCCTCTGTAGGGGCTCCCATACAAATGAAACAGAAATTTCGGCATAACTCGAGAACTAATCAAGTAAATGGAATCAAATTTGGCATGTTGAGGCCATAGGGGATAGTCCCTTCGATAAGAGGGGGCGCTACGTACAATATAGCATGGTTTTTTAATTGGCGCATAAACTCAAGCTAATATTGAATCCTGAGCAAGGCCGGGCACACTCAGCTAGTATAATATAAATATTTACACCGATTTCGGTAACTGTACAAGCAGTAATAGATTCCCATATTACAATTTTAGGAGCTCTTTAAAGGAGCGCATAAATTTGTGGTGGGCGAGGCGCGCACATCTAAAATCAATGGGTAACCATTTACCATCACAGCACTGGTCACAGAGCGCTTTTTGAAAATTTCTCCTCATTATAAAACATTAAAAAAACGCTTACGTACACACATTAACAAGCGCTAAGTAAATTTATTGCAAATGTGCACATTCCCCCGATTAAATTTTCTTTCAAATTTGCAAAACTATAATTCACACTTTCACAATTGGTAACATTCGAGTTGATCCTTATTTATTGTCATTTCATATTTCTAATCATTTAGAGTAAATCTATAAATCTATTTAACACTAGTACCCGCATCTGTACACTTACAAAACTAAGTTAATGAATACAATCTACATTAACAACTCCTGCACAATTTTTGAAAGACTTTCGTAGCTACCGGTGAAGAATCCTAGCAGTGCCAGGATTAGAATGAAAACGTTCTTCACAATCATAAATGCACTCGGTTTTCCTTCGGGTTCACTGTAGGCAACAATCAGCTCGATAATCGGCGGAAAGACCAACGCCAATGCCGTCGAACAAAGCGCTCCGATCAGCGAGATGAAGAGGCTCAAATTCGGTACGCACTCGGCGATGACGACTGGAAAATCAAAAGATTAAGAATGATTCATAACCGTTTATAGACAGAATAAGAATGTTCAACCTACAGGTCACTAGAACAATCAAAATGCGGAAGCAAATCTCCGCTAGCGTTTGGTGTTTGGTAATGTTCAATCGGCACTTGATCGGTGGCCACATGATGATCATGGCTACGAAAAACTGCAGAGCGAATCCCAGAAGCACGCCGGTTGCGATCATAATTTTGACGCTCTCTGCCAGTCTGAAAAGAAAAATAACCAATAAACGGATTTCAGTCCTCAAACTTTTACTCGGAAAATTCTTGACTCACATTTCATTATCCGGAAGGTTGAGCGTCAAGCTGCCCTGTACATCTTCGCCCCATTTGAGGTAGCCGACGAACCCGAAGCAGGTGAAAAGCGAAATGATAAACACCATTCCGATGTTTAGGACCCCAAAGGTCTTTCGGAAATCGTGCGGTTTCTTCATTTCATTCTGCAAAGGTAGCACCAAAGCGATACCTTCGAAGGCAAAAACTGCCGTGCCGAAAAACAATGGCAGTTGATCCAAATTGCCGACAAATCGTCGCTCCGTAATCGCCGGCAGGTCTTGTAAAGCGTAGTAGAACGTGATGCCAATGCCGAGCGACATGAACACGTTTGCCAACATCGAACAGTAAGATAGGAACTTCAGCTTGGTGATGATCGACGTCATGATGATGGGGATCAACAGCAATGCCATGTGGTAGTGAACGTCCAAGACCATATCGTAACGGTCGAAGATCTGTGAAAAGAAAACACCGGCTTGGTTAGTACGAGCCCACAACTCTAGTAACGCATTTAACGAACCTGTTTAAAATTCGAACTGATAAAAACAAAATAGATACAACAGAATCCCAGCTGGGTTACGCAGATAAAGATATTCACAGCCAATTTCATCGGTTTGGACAACCATCGGAATCGGGGCGGTCCTTTCTGGAAGCTTAGCCCCACCGTTTCGGCGAAATCCGGTGGTCGACCCTTATTCTGCTGCTCCATGTGAACTTTTTTGGCGCAATTCAGCAGCACATGCTGGCAGTGAACGCAGACAAACCCAATGAACAGGGTTAGCGCTCCCGCCAGCAGTAGTCCGCCATTTTTAAATGCATCTCCCATGGCGTAGCAACCGGTGCCAATGTTACCTTTGAGCAGATGTGTCATGGTTTCCAGGTAGTTTGTTTTGTGATGCGCTTGTACACCATGCACTGTGATCACATCATCCGTGTAGTCATGGCCAGGCTTCTCCCGGATATGGTGATGATGCAGGTGGTAGTGGTGATCGTGTCCGTGGTGAGGTCCATAATGGTTTTCGACTTCCGCTGCTGATCCGTTCTGCTTCTTGCCGTTCATGTCGTCCAGGACGAACCCATTGTTGACGGTGCCCTCCGAGAGTGACCCGTTGGTCGCTCCATTCTGCTGCCGTTCGTCTGCCGAGATGGTAATTGTCATCTGCAACGGGAGGACAGATTGCACTCGGCTCAATTAAATAATTACCTACTTGAAATTCGCGACAATTATTCATATCGGCGCTGAGCGGTGAATCACGAAAAGTGCAAAATTCAACCTTGCTACTAAACGGTCAAGCCAATGCTGCCTTCCGGTGATTACTTTTTGTCGTGCATATTAAATTTCCTGTTTATCGCCGCTGTCACCACGCCGGCATGCAGGTAGTACGCTTTATTGACTGTATCTGGCACGTGCTGCATCACGCGGAACGTGGGAATGTGTTAAAGCTTGATTTCATTTTTCATCCGCGAAATAATGTTCAACGCATTTAAAAAAAATGCGATTTTCAGTACAGTATCCCCTTGATTGTTCGACACTCTTCAATCCAGCACTGCCCTTAATATAAACTAATACCATAAACGAACTATATCCCACAAATGGTTTGGATGATCACGTCGTTAAGCTCTCTTTTGTTTTTGCTTTTATTAGGGCGGTCAGCACTCGTGCTTTTTTTGAGTTACGGTGAGGACGTAATTTGTGATTAGTACCGGTCCCTTTCAAATTGTCTTATTGGCCCTTATTACCGATGTCACTTGCCACGGAGCAAAATGTGTCAGCTTTGTGCGTGACTTTATCGTTGTCTACTCTACGAGTTTGTTTACGTTGTTTGAATTCTCAGTGAATTGTTGAACTATTTTTCTTAAATTTCGAATAACATTTATTGAATACGAAGTGCGTTGTCAAATTTTGTCCTAAGACTACCGTCGAATTTTCCCCTAGTGGATTCTATGTGAGATTCTATGCGTGGGTGCATTGTATATTACAATGATAATTATTTTGAGGTATCTAGTTAAAATGTAATGCTTCTTCCAATACGACTTTGAGCACACTCAACTGTATTCTTCTAAACAAGGTATGACTAAACCAAAATTACAAAAAATGTATGACAGCAAATCAGTGTTGATGGTGGCTAAACAACTGTTGTATCCGAGGAGAGCTTTCGATTGAATACCTCTTTTACTCAGAGCTGCTCAGAGCTACTCTGGTTTGCTCTGGGATCTGATCTAATTTGTGACGAAAGAGAATTAGTAGGGCATTTAGTTTTAGAATTTGACCATGCAAATGTCAGTTCGATAACGAAACGAAAACAATGAATGAAGAAAATAAATGGATGCAATATTTAAATAAGGAAATAATCTCGTTTTCTACCAGTTCATTGAAGTTTTGGCTATTTTCTTAAATTACTCTGATGATGGCTTTCTGCAGGGCACTTTTCTCTTTGCAATGGTAATGAAATTGACCAGGATCTTGCTACCGTAGTACATGGTAGTACTGGGCATCCAGATGCTTAGAACAAGCGAATGGATATTTACTTCCGGCTACCAGCTCCGGTGGGGACATGTACTTGAGGGTGAATCATGTGAGGATCTCGGTTGCTAAAACAGGAAAATAAAAACGTACAAACTATTCCACCCAACCTCCACAGACGCCCCCTAGCCCCATTTATTAGCCAGCAGGTTCTCCGATGAATTGAGTGTATTTTACGGCATAGATCACCGGCTAAAAAAAACTAACATTCCTTTACACCGAAAACATTGATTGCTTGGGCTGCGCTGTTAAAACAATCGAGATAATAAAATCGTTCATCAAGTGCACCCCACACGAAAGAAGTTTTGTCAATGTTTCCATCAATAATTTCATGTCAATATTTTCAACAATATTTTCTAGGGTTCATCAATACAGGGTCGCTCCTCACTAACATTTATGTATCCGATGGAATATTACGAGTCAAATCACAACCACCTTGACAAAAGTTGCCAAGAAACAGGCACCATCTGCTGCTGTAGTCAAACAGAAGGAGAAAATGAGGGGGAATATTGAAACATGAAATCAAACTTTTCTAATTTTACGTCAATTGATGAACATATATTTCCGTCGTCAATATTTGTATCAATATTGAATTGTTCATTAATTTATTTGATAAGGCTCAACCGAATTAACTTAACAGAGCCGAGGGTTCCTGGTCACTATACAATACATCTTAAAGCTATAGTCAAAAGGTACAACACAATAAACACTTTATCTTCCGCTATCCAAAAAGCCTCCTCCATCAGAACTGGAGCCGCTTCCAGTAGTTTCATTGTATGGCAAATTGTTGTACGCCAACGAGGGTCAGAGCGCGTCCATTGCAGCAATGGACGCAAAACGTGGTCAGCACTCACACACTCATCACGAAACGGTTGCTTTCCAAAGTCGACGACGCATCGACCGAAAGAACTGCTGATGAAGAACAATGAGGAGGACCACACAATGGTTGCTGCCGAGTAAACAGACGATCGCGTAGCACACATCGAGAGTGGCCTGCTTTTGTCGACAGCCGAGTGAACACTGATTTGTATCAATATGATTGTCAATACTTTTGAGTATTGACGATATTTTTGCCCGTGTGGTGCTTGCTTCAGAGAGCAAAAGAGTTCCACAGAGTTACTCTGGATTGCTTTTAATTTCTCACTGTCTTCCCCCTCGGTTGTATCTATGTTTGTTTGTGTATTACACATTTCCCACCAAACTGGACAAATAAGCGCGTTTTCACTTATTAGTGAAAGTGTGATAAAAGTGCACGCTTACGTCAAATCGTTTGGCTGTCTTCGGTGCACTTATTCCTTATTAAGTAAGAAATAAGCGCACCGTAGACAACAAAACGATTTGACGTAGACGTGCACTTTTATCCCTTTTATTAGTTGTAACCAACAATATTGTTGAGTATAATTGACTACTTTGTCAAGCAGTTTTGGTGTGACTTTCTACCAGCGATTTCACAAAACTGGACCTATTTTTTTTATGAAACGCACAAATGTTGGCTACTTTTCTCGTGGTTCTAGTAGAAAAATCTCAAAATAATGTGTTATTTCAAAGTTCGAGTGGTAGTAAACGTAATTTTAACTGCATGAATGAAGTGGTCATCTGTATGTGATAAAACCATTGAAAAAATCAACAAATATTGCGTATAGTTTTATTAACCGGACTGGAAAATCTATAAAACATATCCATTCACTATTTATTATAAAATCATTAATTATGCTTCTGATCAACAATATCAAAAACTCTCTTATGTTAAACGCTGTCCAGACTGGAGAGTTATAACATGTTATAACGGTTGTCAACTAATTGCAACACAGAAACCACCATCAAGATAGCGCTATAACATGTTATAACTCTGTAGTCTGAACGTACTATTAAGCGCTGTCCAGACTGAGCAGTTATAACAACAATCAATACGAAACTAATGATTTTAAATTGGCTCACTACTTGACTAGCCTATTGGTCCCAAGCAAACGATTAACGTACCCCATTCTAGTCGAAATTCTAGTACTTCGCAATGTTTGTTTTGATTCGCTATGAAAGTTTGACAGAACATCAGGGGTGTGTGGATTCATGCAGAACATGCAGGGGTGAGTGAAATAGCTTGGGACTGCTTGGGACCGTTGTTCTGGTACTGAGTGAGCCAAAAATAATAATGATTTTCTTCGGGACCCAGTGGTCTTAGAGTTACCTCTATGGTTATAGCATAGAGGTAACTCTAAGACAAGTAGGTCCCGAAGAAACGTGCTCAACTTTTTGGCTCACCTGTGGTACTATCTCCGGTCCCAAGCTTGTCGAATCACCCCTCGAAACATAGGAAAAACCAATAACCCCTCATTTTATCTGTCAAACTTTCATAGCGAATCAAAACAAACATTGCGTAGTACTAGAATTTCGACTAGAATAAGGTACGTTAATCGTTTGCTTGGGACCAATAGGCTACTAAAGTGGAGAGCCAATTTAAAATCGTTAGTTTCGTATTGATTGTTGGTTATAGTACGTTCAGACTACAGAGTTATAACATGTTATAGCACTATCTTGATGGTGGTTTCTGTGTTGCAATTAGTTGACAACCGTTATAACATGTTATAACTGCTCAGTCTGGCCAGCGTTTTACCTCTATGGTTATAACATGTTATAACGGTTGTCAAATAATTGCAACACAGAAACCACCATCAAGATACAACATGCTATAACATGTTATAACCAACAATCAATACGAAACTAACAGACAGAAAAATGCTTCCATTGCACATCGTTTTTTTAGACAGAGAAAGCATAGTTTGCTATCTCTTTTTAATCTTCACCGATGGCAGACGCGAAGGGACTGCTGCAAGCCGTTATGGAAGTTTCGGTTGCATTCGGGTGTAAAGCAAAAATCATTTAACTCCATCTCACCACAGTTTGGTGAGATTTGCTGTTGGTGAGTTTTATTAGCTTGATATTCCGAGTAGTAGTTTGCTTGTTGATTTTTGTCTACGAAACTCAAGCGTGATCTTCGGCGTTGGTGAGATTTGATTTTTTGATATTTTCCCAACACTGCACATGACTTTTATTTTTGATTCGATTTACGTGCAAAATAATAATCGATTGCATCGCAATATTTTGCACTTTTCGCCACAATCTGGCTGAGTTTCTAGTAGGGAACATATTATTTTAAATTTGGCTTGTGTCGTTTGACCTGTAAACGGTCAAATTTGATCGTTTATACGTCAAACGACACAACCCAAACATCAAGTCGAATGTTCCCTACCAGAAACTCAGCCAGATTGTGGCAACCATGAGCACTCGTAAAATGCTGGATAGAGTTAGAATATTGTTTATGATTCGAAAAACTAGTTGAATTTGAGAAGCACACGAAACATAAAGGTGATTGAATTTCTGTTCGATTGCAATACTCTCAAATATAATCTAGTAAGAATAAGAAATCCTCTGACAAATTCTAATGGGAATGTTCGATTGGCTCAGATTTTGGCAGTTCATTTGGCTCAAAACATTCTCTTCGCCCATCTCTCCCTCTGAGGCCGTTCGCAATGCTGTTGTTATAAGGACTGTTTCAATTTGAAACTAGAACAGAAACGCACCTCTCGCAATGCTGAGGCCGTTCGCAATGCTGTTGTATTTTATAAGGACTGTTTCAA